CGCAGGAGCTCTTGGGCTTAATTACCAGCACTGCGTAAACCAGGCATGGTGGCACATGCCTACAGTTCCGGCACCTGGAAGGCAGAGGCAGAAGAATCCAAAGTTCAAAGTTGTCTTTGGCTGCCTAACATGTTTGAGGTCAGTCTGAGCTACGTGAGACCCTGTCTCAAAATAATGAAACAAGAAAGTGAGTATTTAGAAGAACTGTTAGAGACCCAGTATAGGAGCTGCCACCTGCAGCTGTATTTTGGAGCTAGCCCATATTTACACAGCTCATCTGGGTTGGACATGACATTAATAACATAGTGCTTGGTCAGCCCTACAATGAGGCCTCCTTGCTCCAAAGATCTGATGGTTTTTACAGATGCTAATATCCTATACGTGCGCCTAGCAAGATGAGACGTTCCATACTGAAATTCTATTTCCCTCGTCTTACGGGGGTGAGAGGGGTTGATTTACTGCTCTCTGAGTTGGAAATTGAGGTGGTTAGAATGCTTTACATAGTTTCTTTATCTGGGAGAATAAATCATTAAAAACTAAATAGGAGAGAAATCAATAGACATTAATAGTGTTAACTACAGGATGCAGTGTTCCAGCCACGCTTCCAGACTGGCTCAAGGCACGGCATTTATCATCAAAGAGCAGCTTTCTGGCCACTGTGCCACAATGTGGCAGTTGTGCGCATGAAGTTCAATAAAATAAAACACCTCTGTATGGATATCGTGCTTTTCCATTCACAGCATGAGCAATCCTTTAAGCTGCCTAAATTAACCCTTCATACAAGATACGTTAAAAAGCAGTAAGAATGATTATAGTGAAAACTCAACTTCAGTGTTGAATGTGGATAAGAGATTAATAAAAAAAATTAGGGTTTTCAGATTTGGGGAACCGATGAATGAGTAAGTGAGGCAGTTCAGATACACAGAAAGTCCAGGTAAAACATCAGACATGTGTGTGTTAAGACAGGAAGAGACCATTTGGGGGAAAGAGTTGTAAAAAAGGAATCAATTGGACTCAATGAGTCTTACATCCAGTCTTAAAATAAAATAAGTTTGAAGAGTAAATCCTGGGTCTACATCCTTGAGAGCAGAGGAGCCCTCAGGTACCTATGCTCACTCATCGACTCTGCCAGGCCCCCTTCTGTGGACGGACTTCCCCCATGCCTGTTTTATGTGGAATTGCCATGAGCCAATAGTTCAGCTTTGCTGCAGCAGCATTCACTACCATTCACATAATTCATTCTTAGAAAGAAAAAAAAGCAAGTGGAAACAGGAAAAATAAAACTCTATTGGCAATTATAAGAAGTATTTTTTTCTCATTAAATTTCATGTGGGACAAAAGCGGAAGTTATTACGGATAACTTTGGCAGAGCTGTCCACAGAATCAGTTGTTAATTGACCTTGAATGGGCTAATTTTCGCTTATTTGAGGAGGAAATAATCAAAGCAGATGACGCTTAAGAAAGGAACGTTAAAGAAAGAGAAGCACGTCGGATGCTGTGTCTGGACAGCAACATAGAAGCTGAGGCTTTTTGGCCTTCTGTGGCCACCACCCCTCACATTACACAGCTCCAGCCTGTGTTTGAGACATGCTTTCAGGAATGTATCCTTGTGGGAAAGTCAGAACGACAGGACCGAACCAGTTACTATACATGTGACAAAGTGCCTTATGCTCTGAAAGGCATGGGGCGATGTTGGCTATTTTGATTGATATTGGCACCTCCACAACAGCATCAGGACGATGTTATTCACAAGCAAAACCATCCGAAAATATAATTGCATCTCTCTGTCATACGTAGCCCCTGCTGTGATGCTGAACATGTAGTACGAATTCAGAATTATGTGGTGCTTTGTAAGCCCACTTGGGAAAGTCTAAAGTGTCTTCTTTCCTACGACTGTCTATTAACTCCATAGGTCTTTTCTAGACAGTAGTAAATTCTTTATTGACTTCTCTACCACTCGTAGTAGATACATAGGAAATCATCAGCTACTGCTTATTCATTCATTCTTCCCCCAAGTTTGGGGGAGGGGCATTTATTTCATAACTTCTAATATTCCAGCCACTTGAGTAACGGACTCATCAACCTGCTGGGAATGCCATTCAGATAACAGTGTGGCCAGTGCTGTCTGGAGGCAGTCCACAGAGAAGAATGGCAACTCACGTGACGCACACTGCTCCCGAGACAAATAGAAAGTTCAGAGGGAACGTCTGATTTGAGGCTGTACCTTCGAATATAAGCGGATTGTGGGAAGCTACTTACACAGAAAAGAAGGCCACAGACATTTCCCACGGATAAGAACCATCTACACAGGGAGGCCCTGGAGAAAGGAAAGTGTGCCGTATTTGGGGGGACATAATGAGATCTTCAGGGACTGGAGGGCTGGGGATCAAGGATGCAGAGAACAGCACAGGTGGCCGTGCAAAAATGATCTCATGCAGGATGGGGACAAGGCTGACTGGGCTTTGTGAGAGGACCCAGTATTCCTCCAGCACTGACTTGAGAACTATGTTTTCAACAAGCCCCGAAAAGACGCCACCGAAGGGCTTCTAGTGGTCTGCTGAGGAGTTAAGCAAGGAGATCACATGATCAGATACGTGTTTTTTAAATCTCTCATTGGATCGGAGCAAAAATTCTGAGGAAGGCAAACCCACCGCTGTGAAACGAGCACGTGACACTGTTTGGCCTCCGAACCAACTGCGGGACTTGGTGGAGGTGCTCAACTTTACCCAAAACTTTCTGCCTCTGAATCAGGGAAGGGCCAAGGTTTACACACGGATGAACCATAACAACTGTTACTTGTTTAGGGGGAAAAATGATTGAGTGTTAGTAATTTCTCATGGTAAAAAAAAAAAAATCTAATATTTAAAAAAAAAAATTTTCTCCGTGCTTTGTTGTACCCCGAAGTCTGAAAGCAATTAATGAAATATGAGTGGATTTAATGCACCCTCCTTTTTATTTATCATTAGTTATCCTACAAAGATGTAAGTTCCGTCATTCACGCACCCCAAACAAATGCTAAAAATGGGAAGGGCGGGCCCAACACAGCTACCAGTGAAGTAAGGCAGCTAGTGTAAATGCTTTTAGGACCAGAAGGTACAGCCAAGCTCTTTCTCTACCCCCACCCGTGCGCCAAGCTCACATCGTGAAACCGATATCAAAAAAGAGAAGCAGCCTGTCTGAGGTCACACTGAATACTTCATTGAAATGCTCAGTGTATGTGCTTGTGTGTGTGTTTAGTCAGGTGCTGAGATTTGTAAAGTATTTGGGATTTGCTTTATACAGGGCTACTGTCACATGAAAATTCTGGCATACTTAGAGAAAAATCATAAAGCAACTACACATACTAATTTTGAAAATAAAACCAAAGGAATTGACACAAAAACCCATTGAAATACAATAGATGCTTCATAAAAGTTTGCCAAATGAATGATTGACCTACAAAAGGCACGATGCCAATGCAAAAGGTTTCTAAGGAAGTGCAGAGGTTATTTGCTTTCCACACCGTTTGGCATCCAATCATGAACCAGCATTTCAGAGCCCCGCCCTCCCACATACACCTTTTCCACTGAAAACACCCAGCAGAAACCAGAGAGCAGCCTATGAACTAAGCTGAGCAAACCGAGGCAGTGGTGGAGCCTGACAATGAGCTCAGTCTTCAAAGGCCAATAGGAGTGTTAACTAACTCTTGCTGATAACTAATGAAGGGGATAATCAAAGCAGCACAACCCTTAAAGTAGCTCCATAACACGATAATGGCTCCTCTGTGTGGGACTTGTTCGGGCTACCCATGCATTAACAGTTTTGGGTCTAGAGTAAGCACCATTATTTCACCTTGATTTTATAGACATACATATATATGGTAAGCCACACCAAACCACGCCATTGCAAAGCAGAAGAGCGGAACACTGAACCCAGATCACAAGACCCTAGGGGTTTACCAAAGAAATTCTTTGGCCTTGTAAACAAAACAAGAGTACCATGCAAACTGACTCCCTGGAGCATGCCAGTCAGGCTGATGGCATTTCTGGATGATGTCATGTAGCCTGGTCTTTTTACCCATAAGGAATGAAGGATTTTTATTTGAGAAAACCGTGTACAAAGTAAGACCTGGCATAAAGGATTACGGATGCCATTCTCTGCCTTGGCACAGCATGGCTATTATTACCCAAAAGCAGAAATAATGCCTCGTTCAGGCCAATAAAATTCCAGGCTTTCACTGTCCTTTTAAAAATGTGGGGGTTCGTGTGAGGTTATGTGTGAAAGAAGCAGCAAATAGGGTCTCCCATATTTTTTTTTTATTCAGTAGGGTCATTCAGGAAAATACTTCCAGAAGAAAAAAACAATAATAATAAGAGGCAAAATGTTTTCCTAAACCAAGTGCTAAAGTCCCAGAGTGAAAAGATTTAAAAGAAAAAGTCCCACAGAAATCCATTTTCTTTAAATAAGTAAGTGTGGCATTTAGAACTGTCCCTTTCAGCATTCCCCAAGGACCCCTATGGTTTGTTAACCTGTCTGTAACCCCAGCACCTCTAAAGGCAGGAAGACAGGCACCCCCAGCTGGCAATCACAAACTGAATATCAAGCACCACAGAAAGAAAAGTTTAGGAAACAAGTCAAGATCCCAGAGTAATCCTAAACAAACCTCAGAGGAAGACCAGGCCCAAGCTGTAGGCTGTTCCCCCAAATCTCCCTGCACCCACCAGTGCCACAACCTACGTGGAACACGCACAGGCAAAGCAACACAGAGGAGGAAAATAAACAAAATAACGGGCATCATGGAGAGATCTTTCCCGAAATTCCCTTCACAGTCCCAGATAACAAAAACAAACACAAATAAAGACAATAAAGCCCCTGGAAGCAAACTACCTACCGGTACAACCCATCCTTGTTCCGCCTCCATTACCAGGAGGTATCCTGGCCAAGGGTGCCTCTGGTCCCAAAGAGACTCCCGAAGCCACCAAGGCCAAAGGCTTTCAGAGTTGAGTTTGCTTAACTCTTACCCGGTCCTGAGATGCTTGCGGTTGGCAGCGCAACCTGTTTTCCCTTGGTCTTCAACCACTCCGGCCGAGATTCAAAATCTGTTCCCAACAGCCGCTGCTGACCTCCAAGCAGAACCCCGGGAGGAAACGACGTTTGCGGGTCTTGTTTAGGCTCTGGGGACGGGGACGCGGTGAAGAAGGCGAGTCCTGGAGCTCCAGTTTCGCACGGGGACGAGTCCCGCTGCAAACTTGAACAAGCTTTTCCCTGTCTGGCTAGAGATGCTGGAGGATGAAGGCAGTAACCCGAGCCGGGCTGGGATGCGAGCAGTTGCCGCCGCAGCAGCTGCTGCCTCCGGGACAGTGGCCGCTGGTGGGGGGTGAGAGGGGGTAGGGTGGTGTCTCTCGCTTGTGGTCCCTCCAAATCTGAAGGTTCCTTCTGGCTGTACTCATGGGACCTCTTTCAGGGACCGAGTGATGAAGTTGGCAAACTTGAGAGAAGTGCTGTGCTCCACCCCGTGCCGGTGCTAACCTCTCATCAAAGTGCCCTTGGAGAGGGGTCTAGGTCCTCTACGAGGATTTGAGGCACAGGGACAGTGTTCACCAAGCGGCCAGGACAGCGTGTCCCCGTGTGAGGGAAAGCAAAAGCGGGACCGAGAAGGGCTGAGGACCAGGCAGGGCCACCATCAGTCGAACCGCAGTTAAGTGACGGGAAGGTGGGGAGGGAGAAGGGAGGCGATTGGAGGGGGACCCGCCAGCCTCTTGGGACGGGGCGGAGGGACAGCTCTCCCGCCGCCAAACTCCCCGCAGACCTCTGCCAACCCCTGCGCGGTGATTTCTTGGAGAATAGCTCCCTCTGCCGACCTCCCAGGACGCTGGGGAGACCGGGACATAGACTCGAGCATGCCGCCTCCTCAGCCCACTTTCCCCCTCCAGACCCAACAATTTCATCATCCCAACAACCCGGGAAAATACAAAACTTTCTAGCTCTCAGGCAATAGTTTTCCCTTTTCTTTTCTTCTTCCTTCCTTTCTTTTTTCTTTTCCTTTCTTTCTCTCTCTTTTTTCTTCCTTCTTTCTTTCTTTTATTTTTTTCTTCACTTTACATCCCAATCGTAGCCCCTCCTCTCCCCTCCCCCAGTCCCACCCTCCTTGCTTCCTTCCCTCATCTCTATATATTCCCCCTTCCTTCCCCCTCAGAAATGGGGATCTCCCCACCTACCGTCCCATCCCAAAACATCAGATCATATCAGGACTGAGAACATCCTCTACCATGGTGGCCTGGCAAGGCAGCCCCACCAAGGCCAAGTGATTGAAAAGCATGCAACAGAGTCCTTGTCAGTGACAGCCCCCACTCCCTTTTACTAGGTAATCCAAAACAAGGTATCCATCGTGTATACATATGTGTAGGGGTCCCCAGTCTGGTCCATACATTGTCCTTGGTTCGTGTTTCAGTCTCTGCAAGCCCTCCTGGACCCAGGTAAGTTGGCTCTGATGTTAGCTTCTATCCTTCTTCCCACTCTTCCACAAGGCTCCCTGTACTCCCCCCCTCCCCCAATGTGTGGCTGTGAGTCTCAGCATCTGTTTCCATCCATTGCTGGATTGAGGCCTCTCAGAGAACAGCTATGCTAGGCTCCGGTCTGCAAACATAGAAGAGTGTTGTTAATAGTGTCAGCAGTTGTCTCTCTCCCATGGTATGGCCAGGGATTGGTTGGACATTCCCTCAATCTCTGCTGTTTATCCCTGCACACTTGTAGGCTGGGTAAATTTTGGTCGAAGTTTTTGTGGGTGGGTCGGTGTTTCCCTCCCTCTACTAGGAGTCCTGTCTGGTTAGAGGGTAGCTCCTTCAGTCTCCATATCCCCCGCTAATAGGGGTCTCCTCTAGAGTCACCCGCATATTCTCCCAAGAAGTATTTCCTGTCCTAGGTCTCCAGCCTGTCTCAGAGGTGCCTGTGTCTCTCCACATGTCCTTTGTCCCCTCTCCCTTCCCCCCTTCCCCCCTTCCCACATCAGATCCCCACCCTCATTTCCATAAGCACTCCCTCTCCTATCTTTTCCCTCTCTTCTAGGACATCCTCTGTCTATTCCATTTCCCCTTCTCAGTGAGATTCAGGCACCCTCCCTTGGGCCCTCTTTGTTACTTAGCTTCTTTGGGTTTGTGGATTATAGCATGGTTATCCTGTACTTTATGACTAATATACACTTATAAGTGAGTATACACCATATGTGTCTTTCTGGGTCTGGGTTACCTCACTCAGGATGATCTTTTCTAGTTCAATCCATTTGTCTGCAAATTCCATGATTTCCTTTTTTTTTTAATAGCTAGGTAGCATTCCATTGTGTAAATGTACATAGTTTCTTTATTCATTCTTCAGTTGAGAAACATCTGGGTTGTAATAGTTTCTGGCTATTACAAATAAAGTTTCTATGAACATAGTTGAGCAAATGTCCTTGTTGTATGGTGGAGCTTTTTTTCCGTATATGCCCAGGGGTGTTATAGCTGGATCTTAAGGTAAAGCTATTCCCAATTGCCTAAGAAACTGTCAGATTGATTTTCAAAGTTGTTATACAAGTTTGCACTCCCACCAGCAATGAAGAAATGTTCCCCTTTCTCCACATCCTCTCCAGCATGTGTTGTCACTTGAGTTTTTTATTTTAGCCATTCTAACAGGTATAAGGCAGAATCTCAGAGTCATTTTGATTTGCATTTCCCTGATGACTAAGGACAGTGAGCATTTCTTTAAGTGCTTCTCCACTATTCAAGATTCTTCTGTTGAAAATTCTTCGTTTAACTCTGTACTCCATTTTTTAATTGAATTATTTGGCTTGTTGGTGCTTAATTTCTTGAGTTCTTTATGTATTTTGGATATTAGCCCTCTGTCAGATATAGGGCTGATGAAGATCTTTTTCCAGTCTGTAGGCTGTCGTTTTATTCTGATGACAGTGTCCTTTGCCTTACAGAAGCTTTTCAGTTTCAACATTTATTCATTGCTTATCTTAGATCCTGAGCTGTGGGTGTTTTGTTCAGGAAGTTGTCTCCTATGCTGATGAGCTCAAGGCTCTTCCCCATTCTCTTTTAATAGTTTTAGTGTGTCATTTTTCCATTCTTTGGTTTTAGCTTCTTTATCAAAACTCAAGTATCCATAGATGTGTGGGTTTTTTCCTGGATCTTCAATTCGATTTCATTGATCCATGCTAACATGAAAGAGGAAAATTTCCAGGGTCCCTACTCCTAGACAAAAAGTTATAGGCAACTAAGATATGCTAAGACCAGAAAAAAGCAATCTTTGCCAGGGACGAGTCCCCAAATGGTTATCTAATACAAATTTGTCAGCCCTGAAATCATATACATACAAGTAGTACTAAACATACTGAGAAAGTTATATTTACATATTTTGCATGTGTGTATATATGCAATTACATATAACAAACTATATATTCTTTCACATATATATATTTCATATATATATATATATATATATATATATATATATATATATATATGAAGAAAGACCATGAATTTATGAAGGAGCAAAGGAAGACATGGAAGTTGTTAGAGGGAGGAAAGGGAAGGTGAAAATGATGTAACTATATTTCAATTTCAAAAAATAAATGAAATTTTGAAAAAATAGGAAAGAAAATTGGAGAGCTTATATTTGGAAACATGGCACAAGATTAGCATGGTTTTCCCTGATTCAGTCCTAACAATAGGAAGAAGTATACATTTTCATTTATGTTTCACAGACAGAAAAATGAAGGCTCAGGGAGAGCAACAGACTTAGCTGTGATTACAAAGCTGATGACAAGAAGAAACACCACCCACCCTGGGCCCAACTTTAAAATTTACTCTCTTCTGATACCCGCCAAGGTTCTTTAAACTTCACCCATGGGTGCCATTTAAAGACTCTTCTTCAGAAGCATTTTAAATCTGCTCTGCAGAGTTTGGGTTTTCTTAGACTCTTTACTCAGGAAATTTAGAAGCTCTTAGGTCAACACAGGCTGACTCTTCTTCCCTAAGCCCAAACTCAGGCGGCATTAGGAAAGGTTGTATCTTTAATAGATGGCAAGAATTTAAAGTGGGGCAGTTGGCCTGTGAGGGTCCCCGTTAACCACTTCATATTAGTCTCTTCCTTCTTGCTCAAGATTTCCTGCTCATTCCTTTCTTAAAGATGATGCTTGTTGTGTTTTGTTTTTTAACTTCTGTTTTTAGAGGTATTGGAAGAGAAACAGAAAGGATAAGACAGTACATAAGAAAATCACATCTGTAACAATGGGCCTGGTTCTATGAATTAGAGGAGTTTTCTGTCTCTATCATGGCAGCATGCCTCCACAGCGGTGAGTGAATCCTGGTGTTCTTATAAAAAAGGGCAAATGGGATTCCACATGAATGTGGCCTCCAGCTCAGTGCTAAAAAAAAAAAAAAAAAGATGAATGTGATCCATGGCAAGAAGTACATTTATCATCATAACCAGATTTGCAATTTTGCATGTATATAATTAGAGCCAATTTCATGAAACAATACTTACTCTGTCATAATGTTCTGTGCTGTTTCTCTCCGCCAATGATTCTTGAATTTTAATCTGCTTATTAATCAACTAGCAACTTTGTTAAATACGTGATTCCAATTCCTTATCTGCAGGGAGGGGCCTGCAAATATCAAACTCCTAGAGAGACGCCCCTGTTCCTAGAACTGCACAGCAAGCAGCAAAGATCCAGTTTCTTTCCATGCTCAATCACTTTGGTGAGTTTTGAGTTATCTGGACTGGTGGCTGGTGTCTATCTCGGTGTGATGCTACGTGTCAGGTATCTGTGAACAGACAGAATGCCTATTGCAAAAGTGGACTTCCCCAATAGCAGCAACATGGTTGGAGGTAGTTAAGAAAAAATGGATTCTGTCTCTCATAAACCAAGAGGGGAAAAAAAAAAAAAAAAAAAAAAAAAAAAAAAAAAAAAAAAAAAAAAAACAAGAAAGGCAGAGGGAAGGGAAAAGAGATCTTTTTGACACTGATGTTCTTGATAATAGTGTTTGACACAACAGCTCTATTACACTTGGACTAAATAAGCCTAAGCACTCTGCATAATGAGGGCACTCATG